CTTTCTTCCCGGGTCTGTCAATTGCCATCAACGCTCTAGAGAGGATGCTACCATCGACTATGTTCCCCTTCAACCGGACAGATCGCCTACTGCTTTGTGGTGTACTCATTACGAATGTATCATTTATAGTGGCCTCGGTCTTTCTATACTGGTTAGGTTTGGCAGTATTGAAGGGTAAGCATGCGGCCATGATCGCCTATTATGGAGCGCTCATCTTCGCAATGCCTATGAGTAACATATTTATGTCAGCGGTATACACTGAGTCCTTCTACTCTATGCTCACGTTTGGTGGCCTGCTACTGCTATACGAAGGTAGTCACTTGAATGCGTTCCGTCAAGCAGCGTTACTGTTGATGTCGGCCGTACTTCTGTCGACAGCAACTTCAGTCCGTTCAAACGGCACACTAAATGCTCCTTTTCTGATTTCCTATGGCATTCATGGCAGATGTCTATTCATGACTATTCCCTTGGCCCTTCTGGTGCTGCTTCCAATGGGGCTCCATCTGAACTATGCGCGGTCGCTCTATTGCAGTGACAGTCTGGACAGTCGACCGTGGTGTGAAGGTCGAGGTAATATATACAGCTTTATACAGAAGGAGTACTGGCACGTTGGCTTGTTGGAGTATTATACGCCGAACAACATTCCCAATTTCTTGTTGGCGATTCCTTCAATGTCTATCGCTATCATAGCAGTCGTTCAGGGTCTTCGTACTTACTGTCCGCCGTTAACCAAAGCACTAACGTCACCCAAGGCGTGGTTCAGTGGGCTGGTCACTGCTGCCAATGATTATGAACGTTCTCCCTTCGTCTTTCAGCTGTTGATCCTCACAGTATTCACTCTGCTTTGTGCCAATGTTCAAGTCATCACGAGACTGCTGACAGGTTGTCCTCTCTATTACTGGCAACTGGGCAAGCTCTACTCAGCATTCAGTAGTGGGGAGAAAGGTCGAATAAGTAACATTTTATTCGCTGTATACTTGCTGTTCCATTGTGTGTACTTCTTTGTTGGACCCGTAATGTTTTGTAATTTTTTACCATGGACGTGAGTGTGCTGTTTCCTCTGCCCTGCTTCACTAGTTATGTATCGTGTTTATTGCGTTGTCACAAACACTGTTCTCAGGCGATGATTATGATGATGAGGTTGACGGCGATGACGCCTCGATACTAGGGGATGCTCCTCAAGGGGGTAGTAGTAGAGGGTATTCTGAGCGGAGCGAGTGGGGCAGCTATGCCATCCGAAGCATAACCTGTTGCGCAGGCACATGGGACACTTTCCCTCTCAGGGGAAAGGGAGAGCAATCTCTATGGGTGGGCCGGCCTGGAGAAGCTTATGTCACTAATAGGGAAAAGTATTGTATTATAGAATATTTCTGCATGGCATAGCTGCCCCAACCGTGAAAACTGGTCTCATCAACATATGAATACACCCCTCCACATATTCTTAGCATACCCGGGTTTTCGACTCGTGCACAGCCACCACAACGAGTATCATCTTGCGGCTCAGGGAGGTATGTATTTATGCTTTACCTGATATGACCTCCAAGTTTCAGGGTCTAACTCTTCGTAGTTAGTGAGAAGTCGAAGACCGATAAAACGTTTTCTCCACATATTCTTAGCATACACGTGTTAAAATCGCGCCTCAAAATACCGACTTTTACTCGGGGAGTATATCTATAACTCCGCTCCTGATCTAATGCTATACATCAACAGAAAGAGAATCGTTCATAATGGTATCACTCCATGTTTCACTCTCATATTTGCAAGCATCCATACAGCCGCATAGTGTGGTGTACTCGGCATTTGCTTATACGTTCAATCTCGCGTTAAGTGGGGGTTAAAGGGGGATAGTTGCATAGTGCTCCTATGATACCATCAATAGGAGGCTTCCCGGATATGATTCCATCACCTCGGAAGACCTTCCTCATAGTGTTCGGCCTCTTGGTGAGTATATCCAATCGCTGAACGAAGGGAATGCTATTTAGGCCTTAATTGTACTGCTCGCCATTACCCTGTACGACACGGGAGTCGAATCGCTACAGAAGGGCAGGGCCGCGATACGAGAAACTCCATCCATCGTTCTCCCCGCTGCCGATCATGGCCGAGTGTGGCTGCAAACAGTGTTCAGTATGCAGCATCGCGACCGGATTGTTACTTCCGAAAGAGAACTACCTCAGGCACCAAGGACGATCAATCCATTGCTCCACACTTTCTACAGCACTATATTGACCTAGGCATACCACTCACTCACATGCTCATCATTCTGCATTCGCGAACACCGGACTCGACAGAATTAAGGATGTTCAGGGACTTGATTAAGCAGTAAAGTCAGTGAAGGTATCCCTGCTCATGCCCAGCGTTAGATATGCATCTATCATGAACATTGAAGAGTGGATTGGCGAATACTCGAGTGAAGTAATGGA